ACCTGGCACAGGAGCGGGGCAAGTAGCACGGGCTATGGTGAGCCCGTAGTGGACTTACCTGGCACAGGAGCGGGGCAAGTAGCACGGGCTATGGTGAGCCCGTAGTGGACTTACCTGGCACAGGAGCGGGGCAAGTAGCACGGGCTATGGTGAGCCCGTAGTGGACTTACCTGGCACAGGAGCGGGGCAAGTAGCACGGACTATGGTGAGCCCGTAGCTTACCTGGCACAGGAGCGGGGCAAGTAGCACGGGCTATGGTGAGCCCGTAGTGGACTTACCTGGCACAGGAGCGGGGCAAGTAGCACGGACTATGGTGAGCCCGGAGCTTACCTGGCACAGGAGCGGGGCAAGTAGCACGGGCTATGGTGAGCCCGTAGTGGACTTACCTGGCACAGGAGCGGGGCAAGTAGCACGGGCTATGGTGAGCCCGTAGTGGACTTACCTGGCACAGGAGCGGGGCAAGTAGCACGGGCTATGGTGAGCCCGTAGTGGACTTACCTGGCACAGGAGCGGGGCAAGTAGCACGGGCTATGGTGAGCCCGTAGTGGACTTACCTGGCACAGGAGCGGGGCAAGTAGCACGGGCTATGGTGAGCCCGTAGTGGACTTACCTGGCACAGGAGCGGGGCAAGTAGCACGGACTATGGTGAGCCCGTAGTGGACTTACCTGGCACAGGAGCGGGGCAAGTAGCACGGGCTATGGTGAGCCCGTAGTGGACTTACCTGGCACAGGAGCGGGCAAGTAGCACGGGCTATGGTGAGCCCGTAGTGGACTTACCTGGCACAGGAGCGGGGCAAGTAGCACGGACTATGGTGAGCCCGTAGTGGACTTACCTGGCACAGGAGCGGGGCAAGTAGCACGGGCTATTGTGAGCCCGTAGTGGACTTACCTGGCACAGGAGCGGGGCAAGTAGCACGGGCTATGGTGAGCCCGTAGTGGACTTACCTGGCACAGGAGCGGGGCAAGTAGCACGGGCTATTGTGAGCCCGTAGTGGACTTACCTGGCACAGGAGCGGGGCAAGTAGCACGGGCTATTGTGAGCCCGTAGTGGACTTACCTGGCACAGGAGCGGGGCAAGTAGCACGGGGTATGGTGAGCCCGTAGTGGACTTACCTGGCACAGGAGCGGGGCAAGTAGCACGGGCTATGGTGAGCCCGTAGTGGACTTACCTGGCCCAGGAGCGGGGCAAGTAGCACGGGCTATGGTGAGCCCGTAGTGGACTTACCTGGCACAGGAGCGGGGCAAGTAGCACGGGCTATGGTGAGCCCGTAGTGGACTTACCTGGCACAGGAGCGGGGCAAGTAGCACGGGCTATGGTGAGCCCGTAGTGGACTTACCTGGCACAGGAGCGGGGCAAGTAGCACGGGCTATGGTGAGCCCGTAGTGGACTTACCTGGCACAGGAGCGGGGCAAGTAGCACGGGCTATGGTGAGCCCGTAGTGGACTTACCTGGCACAGGAGCGGGGCAAGTAGCACGGGCTATGGTGAGCCCGTAGTGGACTTACCTGGCACAGGAGCGGGGCAAGTAGCACGGGCTATGGTGAGCCCGTAGTGGACTTACCTGGCACAGGAGCGGGGCAAGTAGCACGGGCTATGGTGAGCCCGTAGTGGACTTACCTGGCACAGGAGCGGGGCAAGTAGCACGGGCTATGGTGAGCCCGTAGTGGACTTACCTGGCACAGGAGCGGGGCAAGTAGCACGGGCTATGGTGAGCCCGTAGTGGACTTACCTGGCACAAGAGCGGGGCAAGTAGCACGGGCTATTGTGAGCCCGTAGTGGACTTACCTGGCACAGGAGCGGGGCAAGTAGCACGGGCTATGGTGAGCCCGTAGTGGACTTACCTGGCACAGGAGCGGGGCAAGTAGCACGGGCTATGGTGAGCCCGTAGTGGACTTACCTGGCACAGGAGCGGGGCAAGTAGCACGGGCTATGGTGAGCCCGTAGTGGACTTACCTGACACAGGAGCGGGGCAAGTAGCACGGGCTATGGTGAGCCCGTAGTGGACTTACCTGGCACAGGAGCGGGGCAAGTAGCACGGCCTATGGTGAGCCCGTAGTGGACTTACCTGGCACAGGAGCGGGGCAAGTAGCACGGGCTATGGTGAGCCCGTAGTGGACTTACCTGGCACAGGAGCGGGGCAAGTAGCACGGGCTATGGTGAGCCCGTAGTGGACTTACCTGGCACAGGAGCAGGGCAAGTAGCACGGCCTATGGTGAGCCCGTAGTGGACTTACCTGGCACAGGAGCGGGGCAAGTAGCACGGGCTATGGTGAGCCCGTAGTGGACTTACCTGGCACAGGAGCGGGGCAAGTAGCACGGGCTATTGTGAGCCCGTAGTGGACTTACCTGGCACAGGAGCGGGGCAAGTAGCACGGGCTATGGTGAGCCCGTAGTGGACTTACCTGGCACAGGAGCGGGGCAAGTAGCACGGGCTATGGTGAGCCCGTAGTGGACTTACCTGGCACAGGAGCGGTGCAAGTAGCACGGGCTATGGTGAGCCCGTAGTGGACTTACCTGACACAGGAGCGGGGCAAGTAGCACGGGCTATGGTGAGCCCGTAGTGGACTTACCTGACACAGGAGCGGGGCAAGTAGCACGGGCTATGGTGAGCCCGTAGTGGACTTACCTGGCACAGGAGCGGGGCAAGTAACACGTCAAGCACAACACTATTCTTCCAAGCTGCACAATCCCCCCCCCCCAATCCACCTCTCCCTTACCCCCACTGCCCACTTCTCGCCCCCCACCCTTCTCCCTGCCCTTCCTCCACCCCGCCCACAATTCCCTTTCCACCCCCCACTAAGCCCCCCCCTTTATTCTCCTCCCCCTCCCCCCCCACACTCTGGCTTTGAATTATTGCCTTTTCCTCTGTGTTTGTGATCTACTTTTACACCAGTGTATTGACGTGTACGTCCCCCCCCCCCCTGTACCTGGACCCCCTCTCTACCCCCCCTCTCTCTGTTGCTCGCTTGCTCTCTCTCTCTCTCTCTCTCTCTCTCTCTCTCTCTCTCTCTCTCTCTCTCTCTCTCTCTCTCTCTCTCTCTCTCCTCTCTCTCTCTCTCTCTCTCTCTCTCTCTCTCTCTCTCTCTCTCTCTCTCTCTCTCTCTCTCTCTCTCTCTCTCTCTCTCTCTCTCTCTCTCCTCTCTCTCTCTCTCTCTCTCTCTCTCTCTCTCTCTCTCTCTCTCTCTCTCTCTCTCTCTCTCTCTCTCTCTGTCTCTCTCGTCACTTGGCAATAATTCAGTTGTGTTGATCTGTGCGTTGTTTGTTTTTCATTAGTGTTCCTCTTTGTGCAGGAAGTGTTGCAGATATTGTGAGGAGGAAGGTGTTGTGGTGTGTGTCATCTGGGGGCTGGAACACCCTGGCTTTGATTGACGCACGTCACCCATGTCTGCCCAACACACTGATTGATTGATGAAGATTAAGCCACCCAAAAGGTGGCACGGGCATGAATAGCCCGTAATACCTTGAAATGGTCCCGAGGATCACATGTCCCTGTGGCCCAGTCTCTGACCAAGCCTCCTGGTCAGGAGAACAAAGATTTGCTCTCCTGATTGGTAGTCAGGTTAACCAGGCTGTTGGACGCTGCGGCTCTCAGTCCTGATGTGTGATTGGCCTCTTTATTTTGGGAGGTGTTCACCAAGTGATTGAACACTGTGAGCGAGCGGCTAGTTCTGGCACTTATATATAGGAGAGTGTTGAGGCCTTAGGCCTCTTAAGTGTTGATACAATTGTCTCAGCGTCCCTGTTGCACTTCTTACACACTTGAGGTTATCTTGAGGTGATTTCGGGGCTTAGTGTTCCCGCGGCCCGGTCCTCGACCAGGCCTTCACCCCCAGGAAGCAGCCCGTGACAGTTGTCTAACTCCCAGGTACCTATTTACTGCTAGGTAACAGGCATCAGGATGAAATAAACATTTTGCCCATTTGTCTCCGCCTCCACCGGGGATCGAACCCGGAACCTCAGGACTACGGATCCGAAACGCTGTCCACCCAGCTGTCAGGCGCCCTTGACAATTGTTCTAGAGGAAAACATGTTAGTGGATAGAGCGTCAGCCGCACATCCAAGGGGTCCAGGTTCGATACCCCTAGAGCCAAGGTGAATGGAATTATACGAGTTTTTCTCTTATGAACCAAGTGACCATTACAAAGGTCCGGTCTCTCAAAGGTACAAAGGTCTCTCCGGCCGGAATTGGAAAGATTAGGAACTCTGGAAATTGGCTACAGGTATACATGGAACGAATAGTAGGCCATGGTGCGAATAGTAGGCCATGGTGCGAATAGTAGGCCATGGTGCGAATAGTAGGCCATGGTACGAATAGTAGGCCATGGTGCGAATAGTAGGCCATGGTGCGAATAGTAGGCCATGGTGCGAATAGTAGGCCATGGAGCGAATAGTAGGCCATGGTGCGAATAGTAGGCCATGGTGCTAATAGTAGGCCATGGAGCGAATAGTAGGCCATGGAGCGAATAGTAGGCCATGGTGCGAATAGTAGGCCATGGTGCGAATAGTAGGCCATGGAGCGAATAGTAGGCCATGATGCGAATAGTAGGCCATGGTGCGAATAGTAGGCCATGGTACAAATAGTAGGCCATGGTGTGAATAGTAGGCCATGGTGTGAATAGTAGGCCATGGTGTGAATAGTAGGCCATGGAGCGAATAGTAGGCCATGGTGCGAATAGTAGGCCATGGTGCGAATAGTAGGCCATGGTGCGAATAGTAGGCCATGGTACGAATAGTAGGCCATGGTGCGAATAGTAGGCCATGGTACGAATAGTAGGCCATGGTACGAATAGTAGGCCATGGTGCGAATAGTAGGCCATGGTACGAATAGTAGGCCATGGTAGAGCATGCGCCTGACTGCGTGCTGTAGTGACCAACAGTCTGATCGACCAGACCCTCAACCAGGAGGTGTGGTCAGAGACTGGGCCACGGGAGCACTGATCCCCGGAAGTACCTTAAGGTAGACATAAGGTAGACTTGACGCGGTTTTCCTTTTGTGCCTTCATGAGGGTCGTTGTGGGGGAGGCAGGTGGTATTACTCCCAGGCCCGCCACGCCCCCAAGCCACGCCCCCAAGCCACGCCACGTCCCCAAGCCACGCCACGCCCCCAAGCCACGCCACGCCCCCAAGCCACGCCACGCCCCCAAGCCACGCCACGCCCCCAAGCCACGCCACGCCCCCAAGCCACGCCACGCACCCAAGCCACGCCACGCACCCAAGCCACGCCACGCCACGCCCCCAAGCCACGCCACGCCTTCCCAAGCCACGCCACGCCACGCCCCCAAGCCACGCCCTCCCAAGCCACGCCACGCCCCCAAGCCACGCCACGCACCCAAGCCACGCCACGCCTTCCCAAGCCACGCCACGCCCCCAAGCCACGCCCTTCAACCTACGCCCTTCAACCTTCAGCCTCTCCGAGACACAAACCAGGTTCGAACCCCCGTCACGGCCCTTATGGATTTGTTCATTTGATGCATCACGCTATTGTGATTTGTTTGTGTGTAGATTTATCTACCATCTACCAGGGTGAAGCATTAATAGGTAGATTTTGAGTTCCTGGAATTGTGGCTTATTTCCCCCCGGTCGGCCGAGCGGACAGCACTCTGGACTTGTGATTCCGTGGTCCTGGGTTCGATCCCAGGCGCCGGCGAGAAACAATGGGCAGAGTTTCTTTCACCCTATGCCCCTGTTACCTAGCAGTAAAATAGGTACCTGGGTGTTAGTCAGCTGTCACGGGCTGCTTCCTGGGGGTGGAGGCCTGGTCGAGGACCGGGCCGCGGGGACACTAAAGCCCCGAAATCATCTCAAGATAACCTCAAGATAACCCATCCCTCCAGGTCTGAGAGTGTCAGGAGGGGGGCGGGGACCCCTCCTTCATATCTCAGTCTTTACTCGGGTAGAAGAAACAAAGACCTCTCCAGGGGGGACCTCGCCCCCCTGAGCTGGATGAAAGGACCCCGCCTCTTTCAGGGGAATGGGGTCGGCCGCGGGGGGGACTTGAAGGGAAGGGAAAATAGGGAGGAGGCTGATGGTGGGCAGGAAGGGATACCGTGGTCGAGGTTTACCTTACCTATGAGTACTTGCCTATCAGTGCTTACGGGGTGTTAAGTCACAGTTGATAAGCAGGCGAGGAGTCACAATAACGTGGCTGAAGTATGTTGACCAGATCACACACTAGGAGGTGAAGGGACGACGACGTTTCGGTCATTCCTTAACCATTCTCAAGTCTTCAATCGACTTGAGAATGGTCCAGGATGGACCGAAACGTCGTCCCTTCACCTTCTAGTGTGTGGTCTGGTCAAGACCATTCTCAAGTCTTCAGTCAACTTGAGAATGGTCCAGGACGGACCGAAACGTCGTCGTCCCTTCACCTTCTAGTGTGTGGTCTGGTCAAGACCATTCTCAAGTCTTCAGTCAACTTGAGAATGGTCCAGGACGGACCGAAACGTCGTCGTCCCTTCACCTTCTAGTGTGTGGTCTGGTCAAGACCATTCTCAAGTCTTCAATCGACTTGAGAATGGTCCAGGACGGACCGAAACGTCGTCGTCCCTTCACCTTCTAGTGTGTGGTCTGGTCAACAGTTGATAAGTCTCCTAATCCCTCTGCCTCGTTCCTCTTATGGTGCTATCCTCTCTCTTCCTCTTCGCTTGTGCTCGCTATCTCATAATTCTCAGCTGGTGGGGTGAGGATAGGGACGGTAGCCCGGCCCCAGGGGGAGGGGGGGAGGGTAGTAGAATAGGACACGCCAGGGGAGAGACAACGCCACAGAATGGGAGAGAGGGAGAGAGAGAGGGGGAGGACGGAAAGAGAAAGTAGAATGAGGGGAGGAGTGGCAAGTAGAATGGGAGTGAGAGATGAAGGATAGTGAAGGAACAGGTGCTGAGGGAGAGATGAAGGATAGTGAAGGAACAGGTGCTGAGGGAGAGATGAAGGATAGTGAAGGAACAGGTGCTGAGGGAGAGATGAAGGATAGTGAAGGAACAGGTGCTGAGAGAGAGAGAGAGAGAGAGAGAGAGAGAGAGAGAGAGAGAGAGAGAGAGAGAGAGAGAGAGAGAGAGAGGATGGAGATATAATTGGGTTAGAATATACTAGGTTGAGTTAGGCTAACTAGTTTCTGCAATCAATTTGTTTGCCATTAAATCCTCGTTACCAAGGCTGCCCTGTGACTTGCCTTTCTACAGTAGGTCTTTCATACGCCTAGACTGTGCCACCAGTTTGTGACAGACACAATAGTGTACGTGAGTGTAGCAGGACTGTAGGTTACCTGGTTGATGGGGTTCTGGGAGTTCTTCTACTGCCCAAGCCCGGCCCGAGGCCAGGCTTGACTTGTGAGAGTTTGGTCCACCAGGCTGTTGCTTGGAGCGGCCCGCAGGCCCACATATACCTGGTTGATGGGGTTCTGGGAGTTCTTCTACTGCCCAAGCCCGGCCCGAGGCCAGGCTTGACTTGTGAGAGTTTGGTCCACCAGGCTGTTGCTTGGAGCGGCCCGCAGGCCCACATATACCTGGTTGATGGGGTTCTGGGAGTTCTTCTACTGCCCAAGCCCGGCCCGAGGCCAGGCTTGACTTGTGAGAGTTTGGTCCACCAGGCTGTTGCTTGGAGCGGCCCGCAGGCCCACATATACCTGGTTGATGGGGTTCTGGGAATTCTTCTACTGCCCAAGCCCGGCCCGAGGCCAGGCTTGACTTGTGAGAGTTTGGTCCACCAGGCTGTTGCTTGGTGCGGCCCGCAGGCCCACATATACCTGGTTGATGGGGTTCTGGGAGTTCTTCTACTCCCCAAGCCCGGCCCGAGGCCAGGCTTGACTTGTGAGAGTTTGGTCCACCAGGCTGTTGCTTGGAGCGGCCCGCAGGCCCACATATACCTGGTTGATGGGGTTCTGGGACTTCTTCTACTGCCCAAGCCCGACCCGAGGCCAGGCTTGACATGTGAGAGTTTGGTCCACCAGGCTGTTGCTTGGAGCGGCCCGCAGGCCCACATATACCTGGTTGATGGGGTTCTGGGAATTCTTCTACTGCCCAAGCCCGGCCCGAGGCCAGGCTTGACTTGTGAGAGTTTGGTCCACCAGGCTGTTGCTTGGTGCGGCCCGCAGGCCCACATATACCTGGTTGATGGGGTTCTGGGAGTTCTTCTACTCCCCAAGCCCGGCCCGAGGCCAGGCTTGACTTGTGAGAGTTTGGTCCACCAGGCTGTTGCTTGGAGCGGCCCGCAGGCCCACATATACCTGGTTGATGGGGTTCTGGGAGTTCTTCTACTGCCCAAGCCCGACCCGAGGCCAGGCTTGACATGTGAGAGTTTGGTCCACCAGGCTGTTGCTTGGAGCGGCCCGCAGGCCCACATATACCTGGTTGATGGGGTTCTGGGAGTTGTTCTACTGCCCAAGCCCGGCCCGAGGCCAGGCTTGACTTGTGAGAGTTTGGTCCACCAGGCTGTTGCTTGGAGCGGCCCGCAGGCCCTGTCGTGTGGTGGTGCTGGCGAGGGGGAAGAGAGAATGCTGTATAATTGAAAATGCTGGAAAGAAAATGACGCATAATAGGAAAATGGGGCATGGCAATAAAAATTGGTAATGGCGAAGGGGGAGATAATGGGCTTAGGGGGAGAGAGCGCCAGAGAGAGAGAGAGAGAGAGAGAGAGAGAGAGAGAGAGAGAGAGAGAGAGAGACAGACAGACAGACAGACAGACAGACAGACAGACAGACAGACAGACAGACAGAGAGAGAGAGAGAGAGACAGAGACAGAGAGAGAGAGACAGAGAGAGGAAGACAGAGAGAGAATTAGTTAAGCTTGTAGGCTACTTGTGAAGGCTCACTAGTTAAACATGACACCCGTTGGAGGGGCGGGGATTATCAGGGGAAAAGCGCTAAGCCATTACGACTATATAGCACTGGGAAGGGGTCAGGATAAGGATTTGGGATGGGACGGGGGGAAAGAAATGGTGCCCAACAACTTCTGGACGGTCGGGGATTGAACGCCGATCTGCATGAAGCGAGACCGTCGCTCTACCGTGGGCAGGAGGGGGGGGGGAGGCGGCTGATATCGAACTGGAATGTCAAGACAGACAATGGTCTGAGGATATCAGGATGGAGACGGTGGGTATAGATATCATAAAAGAAACAATGCCCTCTTGTGGAAATCATGACTAATACTGTAAATGGACAAAAGAGCCACAGCAAAGTTATACAAGGCTGCTTGTGTAATCACCAGATAACAGCTCGGGTCTGCAGACACTGATAGTATAAAATGGCAGGACAATGTATTTATGTTTTGAATTAGTCTCTCTGTGTCTCTCTGTCTCTCTTTCTGTCTCTCTGTCTGTCTCTCTCTCTCTCTCTCTCTCTCTCTCTCTCTCTCTCTCTCTCTCTCTCTCTCTCTCTCTCTCTCTCTCTCCCCCCCTCTCCCTCCCCCCCCCCCCGGGGGTATGGGAGTGGTAAGGGCTGGTCGCCACTTTATGAATGGTGTAAGGAGAAAAAAGTAATATCTTCAGACATCACCAAGAAGGACTCCTCCTCCCTCCCTCCCTCCTTCATTCCTTTCCTCCACCTCGTTCTCCGCCTTTCCATTTGCTTCCTATCATTTTTGTATTTCCTTCATTCCTTGCTTTCTCGCTCCCTCTCCTGTCTCCTCCTTTCTCGCTCCCTCTCCTGTCTCCTCCTTTCTCGCTCCCTCTCCTGTCTCCTCCTTTCTCGCTCCCTCTCCTGTCTCCTCCTTTCTCGCTCCCTCTCCTGTCTCCTCCTTTCTCTCCTCTCTGTTACCCTGTTTTTCCTTGTATTTTTAAGTTCGCTCTTAATCCTTCTCATCTGTTTGGCCTCCGGTCGGTCGGGAGCCGGTCGGCCGAGCGGACAGCACGCTGGGCTTGTGATCCTGTGGTCCTGGGTTCGATCCCAGGCGCCGGCGAGAAACAATGGGCAGAGTTTTGTTTCACCCTATGCCCCTGTTACCTAGCAGTAAAATAGGTACCTGGGTGTTAGTCAGCTGTCACGGGCTGCTTCCTGGGGGTGGAGGCCTGGTCGAGGACCGGGCCGCGGGGACACTAAAGCCCCGAAATCATCTCAAGATAACCTCAAGATAAGCTCTGTCTACTAACCCCTTTTCCGATATTCCACTTCCTTCTGATTCTATCTGTTCCTCCTCCCTGGAAACACAAACCGAAACTGTCTATTTTCCGCTTGTTACAACTTGTAATAAAGTTGTTACATCTTGGCTTAACGTGTTTATGACGTATTAGAACGTTGTTACAACTTGCTATATTGGTTGTTATAACTGGTTAGGAGGTGTTAAAACTTGTTCGAACGTTGTACCAACGTCGTAGTTTCGGTGTGTGTTTGGTGGGCTATTCATTCGCCCTAACACCCCTTTCATCTCTTTATTTCTCTTGTTAATAATCCTCTTCATTCTTCTTTATATTCCTCGTCATCTGCGCCGGCTTGCTCCTCCCATCAGCAGAGTAGACATCGCTTCGGATTCGTAATCCCGAGGTTCCGGGTTCGATCCCCGGTGGAGGCGAAAATAAATGTGCAGTTTCTTTCACCATAATGCCCCTGTTCATCTAGTAGTAAATGGGTACCTGGGAGTTAGACAGCTGCTACGGGCTGCTTCCTGGGGGTATGTGTAACAAAAAGGAGGCCTGGCCGAGGACCGGGCCGCGAGGACGTTAAGCCCCGAAATCATCTCAAGATAACGTCAAGTACTAGAAACCGTCAAGAAACCTTGGGGGTGATCCAAGAGGTACTTGATAACAACGAGTTATCTTGAGTTATCTTGAGAGGATTTCGGGGCTTTTTAGTGTCCCCGCGGCCCAGTCCTCGACCAGGCCTCCACCCCCAGGAAGCAGCCCGTGACAGCTGACTAACACCCAGGTCCCTATTTTACTGCTAGGTAACAGGGGCATAGGGTGAAAAAAACTCTGCCCATTGTTTCTCGCCGGCGCCTGGGATCGAACCCAGGACCACAGGATCACAAATCCAGTGTGCTGTCCGCTCGGCCGACCGGCTCCCCGCTCGGCCGAGAGACGAGATTACTCTCGACCAATAATGAATATTGGTCGAGTAATTCACTCACTGTGTAATTGGTCGATTGAATGATTCGTAAATAATGAAGAACTATCGGGACATCACAATCTCTTTAATGTGTTATATTAATATATAACACTTAAATTAAGTGTTATAATAATATATAACACTTAAATTAAGTGTTATATATATTAATATAACGTATCCTAAACACATGTACAATGGGACTGTGTTAATTTATAAATACAATCAATTTATACAATCTGGACTAAAATAATCAAACTTTCCCCCCAGAACAGTACTCAACCCTCCAAGACAGTGCAGAGAGATTTTACAAGTACAAGCGCACAGATCAAGCAGGAGACGAGTCCCTTTTAGAACGAAAGAAGAATGTCTTAGAGAATGCAGACGACTATACAGAAGAAAGTTTATATTAACACTTCAAGTGGCTGAAAATGTTCCTTCTGAGAAACCTTTGAGATAGAGCAATCACTTAAGATATAGCAGAATTAAGACATAAAAACTAAAGTGTCTTTATCCTAACCTCACCAGAGGATCCAAAACAGAAAACGGGACAGTACGTCACTTTCGCCAGCCGCTTCCATTTTCTAGTACGACAATTTTTGGCCTTAAGAACATAAGAACAAAGGTAACTGCAGAAGGCCTATTGGTCCATACGAGGCAGCTCCTATCTATAACCACCCAATCCCACTCATATACTTGTCCAACCCGCGCTTGAAACAATCGAGGGACCCCACCTCCACCACCTTACGCGGTAATTGGTTCCACAAATCGACAACCCTGTTACCGAACCAGTATTTACCCAAGTCTTTCCTAAATCTAAACTTATCCAATTTATACCCATTGTTTCATAAGAACATAAGAACATAAGAACAAAGGTAACTGCAGAAGGCCTATTGGCCCATTCGAGGCAGCTCCTATTCTATAACCACCCAATCCCACTCATATACTTGTCCAATCCGCGCTTGAAACAATCGAGGGACCCCACCTCCACCACGTTACGCGGCAATTGGTTCCACAAATCAACAACTCTGTTACTGAACCAGTATTTACCCAAGTCTTTCCTAAATCTAAACTTATCCAATTTATACCATTGTTTCGTGTTCTGTCCTGTGTTGATACTTTTAATACCCTATTAATATCCCCCTTGTTATGTCCATTCACCCACTTGTAAACCTCTATCATGTCGCCCCTAACTCTTCGCCTTTCCAGTGAATGCAACTTAAGCTTTGTTAATCTTTCTTCATATGAAAGATTTCTAATTTGGGGAATTAACTTAGTCATCCTACGCTGGACACGTTCAAGTGAATTTATATCCATTCTATAATATGGCGACCAAAACTGAACTGCATAATCTAAATGGGGCCTAACTAGAGCAAGATATAGCTTGAGAACCACACCAGGTGTCTTGTTACTAACGCTGCGATTAATAAATCCAAGTGTCCGATTTGCCTTATTACGAACATTTATGCATTGATCCTTTTGTTTTAAATTCTTACTAATCATAACTCCCAGATCCCTTTCGCAATCCGACTTCGCAATCACAACACCATCTAGCTCGTATCTTGTAACTCTATCATCATTACCTAACCTCAGAACTTTACATTTATCAGCATTAAACTGCATCTGCCAATCCTTTGACCATTTCAAAACCCTATCTAGATCAACTTGAAGTGATAGTGAGTCCTCCTCCGAATTAATTTCCCTACCGATTTTCGTATCATCGGCAAATTTGCAAATGTTGCTACTCAAACCTGAATCTAAATCATTTATATATATTATAAACAACAGAGGTCCCAGGACAGAGCCTTGAGGCACTCCACTTACAACATTTTCCCACTCTGACTTGATTCCATTTATACTAACTCTCTGTTTCCTTTGGTATAGCCATGCCCTAATCCAGCTTAATATAGCACCCCCAATACCATGAGACTCTATCTTTTTAATCAGTCTTTCATGTGGCACTGTATCAAAAGCTTTGCTAAAGTCAAGGTATACAACATCGCAATCCTTACCACTATCAACTGCCTCAACAATGCTAGAATAAAAAGATAACAAATTTGTTAAACATGAACGGCCATTTATAAAACCATGTTGAGACTCAATTATTAATTTATGTTTTTCAAGATGAAGACGAATTTTATTTGCTATTATTGATTCGAGTAACTTTCCCACAATAGACGTTAGGCTAATTGGTCGATAGTTAGACGCAAGTGATCTATCTCCTTTCTTAAAAACTGGTATCACATTAGCAACTTTCCAAAACTCTGGCACTCTGCCTGACTCTATTGATTTATTAAATATGGTTGACAGTGGGTCACAAAGCTCCTCTTTGCATTCTTTAAGCACCCTGGCAAACACTTCATCCGGCCCTGGGGATTTGTTTGGTTTGAGTTTTACTATTTGTTTAAGAACATCCTCCCTGGTAACTGCTAAACTCGTCAACCTGTCCTCGTCCTCACCCACATAGACTTGTTCAGCTGAAGGCATATTGTTAAGTTCCTCTTTAGTAAATACAGATACAAAATATTTATTAAAATACTACTCATCTCTTCATCACTATCTGTTATTTGACCTGTATCAGTTTTTAATGGACCTATCCTTTCCCTAGTCTTAGTACGATATAACTGAAAAAACCCTTTAGGATTTGTCTTTGCTTGCCCTGCTATGCGAATTTCATAGTTTCTTTTTGCTTTCCTTATCTCTTTTTTAACATTTCTAACCAGTTGTACGAATTCCTGTTCTAAAGTGACCTCCCCATTTTTAATCCTTTTGTACCAAAGTGTTCTTTCGTGTTCTGCCTTGTGTTGATACTTTTAATACCCTATTAATATCTCCTTTGTTATGTCCATTCACCCACTTGTAAACCTCTATCATGTCCCCCTAACTCTTACCTCTGTTAACACCCCTAACGCCTTAGGTAAGACCGAGCGAAAAGCGACGTCCTTTGGAAGAGGACAGGTTGCACAGACAGAATAGTGAGAGTAAAGGCAGTGTGGGCGAGCAAGAGTCGACACCGAGAGTGACACTGAGCTATGCGAGACTCGCGGGGGGAGAAAAACAGTATTGATTATCTTAGGCCGTTATTGTAATGCTACAACCGTCTTGCCTCACACTATTGTTGTCTTTCCCATTACGCAAACTGTGTGTGTGTGTTCGCTTAGTTGTGCTTGCGGGGGGGATGAGCTCTGGCTGCCCCGCCTCTCACAACTGGTGTACAGGTTCCTGAGCCTACTGGGCTCTGTCATATCTACATTTGAAACTGTGTATGGAGTCTACTTCACTTTTCCACGATGTCTTCAGTAGATGTAAGTGTTGAGTGAAGACAGGCTGCGTGGAGGGCACTGGGAAAGAGAAGGAAGAGGAGAATAAAAAGAGAGGGCCATGAGAGGCAGAGGAGGCGTATGGGGTGGGAAGGCGCTGGTGGAAAGGAACAGGATTCACAAGATTGAGATTTAAGTGAGGGAGGGAAAGTTGTGGTGGTGGGGAAGTAACTCAATAATCACATGTCTGTGTCCGGTTGTGGGAGGAGGGGGAGGTTATCTTGAGGTTATCTTGAGATGATTTTGGGGCTTTTAGTGTCCCCGCGGCCCGGTCCTCGACCAGGCCTCCACCCCCAGGAAGCAGCCCGTCACAGCTGACTAACACCCAGGTACCTATTGTACTGCTAGGTAACAGGGGCATAGGGGGAAAGAAACTCTGCCCATTGTTTCTCGCCGGCGCCTGGGATCGAACCCAGGATCAGAAGCCCAGCGTGCTGTCCGCTCGGCCGACCGGCTCCCTACGACCGGGGAAGCTGCTGTTAGCTACCACGTGCTGGGCAGTCGACGTGCAGCTCTTGGGCCCCGCCTTCCCATGATATTAGTAGTCTCGTGCATTACTTCTCGCCGCTTAAATGCTTTGCCTCCATCAAACTTATTCACTAATCGTTCGTAGCCTCAGAGGTAACCGATCAAATATTATCACTACCACCAGGCTTGCGGAGAGGAACTCTTGATACCCAGTACAGGTAAGGTACAGGTTGCGTTGGATGGGGGAAGATACGACCCACCTTCCCAGGAGACGTGAAGGAGGAGAGGCCACCTACCCAGGACGATAGATTTCATAAATACCGACCAAGAGTACGGCAGGGGCTCACCATAGCCCGTGCTACATGGACACTTCGTTCTGAGTAGGGCTAGGTTAGTAAACAAGGGCTAGGAGTCAGTGTCTACTCACGTCTTAGAGGACATCTACCATCTACCCGGTAGTTATCTACCCGGTAGCTTAATGGCCACTCCCTCTGCCTGCAGAAAACACACCTAGCGGCTCTCACTCCGCTATCCAGCTACACTTTAGCGCTATCAAGCTACACTTTAGCGCTATCCAGCTACACTTTAGCGCTATCCAGCTACACTTTAGCGCTATCCAGCTACACTTTAGCGCTATCCAGCTACACTTTAGCGCTATCCAGCTACACTTTAGCGCTATCCAGCTACACTTTAGCGCTATCCAGCTACACTTTAGCGCCTTTTATGGAAATATTTGAGTTTTCAGCGGCTTGGATGGAGAGAAATTTAGCGCAGCCTCGCTCGTCGCGACGGACAAAATGTGTGTCATAATTGTGGCCAAATTGGTCTGACTAATTGGCACTGACTGACTTGTAACTGTTACTAGTACAGGGGCCGTGGCCATCACTGACGGTGACTTGTACAGGGGCCGTGGCCATCACTGACGGTGACTTGTACAGGGGCCGTGGCCATCACTGACGGTGACTTGTACAGGGGCCGTGGCCATCACTGACGGTGACTTGTACAGGGGCCGTGGCCATCACTGACGGTGACTTGCTGGGGGAGAGAGAGGGAGACAACGGGAGGGAGGGAGAGAGGGAGAGAGAGACAGAGAGAGAGAGAGAGAGAGAGAGAGAGAGAGAGAGAGAGAGAGAGAGAGAGAGAGAGAGAGAGAGAGAGAGAGAGAGAGAGAGAGAGAGAGAGAGAGAGAGAATGTCAACCATGCAAACTGAAGGGCAGCAAATCTGCCAGTGTCACGGGAAGTAATGATGTTCAACGAGGGGAAAGTTCCCACTCGTGTGGTAAGAGCCGGAAGCGCACGTATAGAGCACACTCCAGCGACTCTAAAGAGCCAAATTAACATGTTAATGACCTAACATTTAACACGTAATAAACAATACATTTTAACATGACATCACTGCTTCTTACAACTACCAGAAATGTCAAACATGAGATACAAAGTGCTGATGGCACTCTAAGGAGGCCTGGCCAGAGACCGGGCCGCGGGCACATTAATCCCCGGAACCAACAGGGAAAAGACAACAGATAGGGTGGAATTAACCATTAATACTGACGGTGGTGATTCGTAGTCCTGAGGTTCCGGGTTCGATCCCCGGTGGAGGCGGAAACAAATGGACAGTCTTTCT